TGACAGGTCATTCAGCAACGCTATCACTTGGGCTGCGAAAGAAACCACGCGATACTGATATAGCAAGGAAAAATAGACAAATACATCTCAATAAATCTCGCACTTCTTTAATAGTAAGAGGAACAATAAACTGGTGTATAGTTTTTTTGTCATCGTGTTGCTGATGCGGGGACCAGCATTGTGTAAGGTGCGAGGCAGAGCGCGTTTAAAAACGGCCAAGGTGACACTGCAACTGGCGAACATATAACAAATTTTTTTTGTTTTTTTTGTTTGTTTTTGTGGAAGGCAGTTTATGAAGAAAAAATACCTCGATTAGGAGTACACGAAGCATTCAAATACGATATGAACACAAACTTTAACAACCCGTAATATGAAAAAAAAAAATGTACTCTCAACTCACTGCTTTATGACTTCTCAAAAGTGGTAATACACTTCATCGACATACACAGCAAGCACATGACAGATATCCAGCAACATAGTACGCAAAAAGACTACAAAATAGTCATAATACAGGGTGTCACAAAAGAAAATTTACACGGTCTTTTTTACCGCAAAAATAAACTAGACATTGCCAAACGCTCATTCTCTGCCCAAAGGTAGCACTAGAGGTCACAACCAGATGCCAAAGTTTCAGCCCGATCCGATAAGTTAATCGAAAGTTATAAGTGATTTTCTGAAAATTTCAATGGGAAAATGGAGCCCATTTTTGCCCGTTTTCGGTTTCTGGTGCCATAGAGCACCATGTGTTTGAAAACTCCGTCGGCCGCCATTTTTCCATTGAAATTTTCAGAAAATCACTAATAACTTTTGATTAAGTTATCGGATCAGGCTGAAACTTTGGCATCTCGTTGTGACCTCTAGCTCTACCTTTGAGAGGAGAATGAGCGTTCGGCGATGCCTAGTTTATTTTTGCGGTAAAGAAGACAGTGTAAATTTTCTTTTGTGACACCCTGTATATTGCGGCATAGAATCCTAACCTCTTCGCCATTGACGATGTACACATAGTCCCGAAGGACAAGGCGCGGTTCAAAATGTCTCTCGCACACCGCTGATGTCTCGGCGAGGCATTTATCTTCTCGATTAAGATTTTCTTTTTTCCCTGTAGCCTGCGCGATTCCTCCTTCGGCGCACAAAACAGCGACGGCTTACGATCGCTGGTGGCTGCCCTTGTTGACCGGGTAGCCCGACTTGCATCCCGGCGCGAAGCAGTGTGTGCGTCCGTCTTGTTCCTCGCATTTATGACCCAGAGGGCAACGGAACGGGGAAGACTCCCGACCACCACGCCTCAAAGAAAAGTGCTACGGTGCTACGTTCGGGAGTGAGTGAGAAAATGTTTTATTTTCAGGTGGGGTACCTGTTGCCCTTGAAACTCGTCATTGGCTACAGGGGGAGGGGAAGGAGGGATTGGGTTTAAATGTAAATATAAAGTCCGGCGGACTTGATGAACTCTATCAGCGAGTCCAAAATTGCTTTTCTGTGCTCGGGGGTGCCGTCTGGAAGAACCCATTCCTTTAGGCAGGATGGTCTTTCTTGTGGCGGTAGAGCATTCAAAGCTAGTTTCCGCTTGATGTCACTTTTGGGACAATCCCAGATGATGTGTTTGATGTCTGCCAATATTTGACAGTGATCGCACATGTCAGTTTCGGAATCTTCCCCGTTGTTGCTTTTCCGGAATTTATACTTCAAAGCCGGTGTCATGGCGGTTCCTGTACGCAACCTTCGTACAACGTTCGGGAGAAGCGTACCGCCTCAGCTTCGTCGTCTTCTTCGCTCATCGCACATCTGCCATCTGCAACAAATTCTCCTAGGGCACGGAACTCCAGCACCACTCGCGGCATCTACGTTGACCGTCTTCACGCGGCCCATTGTAAGCTGGCGCCGCTCTTGCCACTAAGTGTCGTGTTTTTTTTTTTTTTTTTTTTTTGTGTGTGTACGTGTGTGTGTTTCACATAAATGTTGTTGTAGTCGTTCGTTGTCAACACTTCCTGGTCACGAACAACATCAAAACCAAACTATAAAAAAAAGTAATTCTCATGGCACATTATCCTTATTCACAGTACTCTGTAAACAGCCAGTGAACTTTCGAGATCATGTACTTGTTAAAAGGACACGACGGCAAAGCAACTAATCGCTCAAAATAGCGTGATTATAAATTCACTCTCCAGTCATGCGCACCAACGAGCGTAAACATGCATGCAAGTCTGCAGTGTGATGACGAGGTATCCGAACCGCCGGGTGACCGGAACGACACTGACCTCTTTCTAGAGCCGAAACGTGTTAATGAAATGACGTCGTTCGTTTTTTTCTTCTTTTTTTTTTTTAATGTATAAAGTGAATTACAAATGAAAGAAGAAGAAAAACTTTGAACAAAAATTGAACTTGCTAAACTGTTTTTTTTTTTTGGGGGGGGGGGGGGGGGGAGGGGGGGGTGGAAGAGGTATTTTTTTGGGGGGAGGAGGGGTGGGGGGGGTGGAAGAGGTACTGTGGAAAAAGTGGGGAATGTGTTGCCTTGACCTATGCTAGAAGAAAATAAGGGGGGGGGGGGGGGGGTTAGACGAGGAAACATGGTAAATAAACGTGGAGAAGAGTGATTAACTGCCACTTTGAGACTTCCAAAAATTTATTCTAAAGCTGTTGTTTTTTTCATTAGCTTTACTTTTTTTCGTACGTTGTTTAAATTTTGAGAAGGACGCAGTTTTGACTAATGACCACCTCGGCTAAAAGAGTCATGCCGGTTTCGGCATGGTTGTCACCTGAAACCGGCGTACGTCTGCGTGTAGGTGAAAGGTATTCGTTGTTTGGGAGACACGTGGTAAAGGTTCTCTGTGCCATAGGTTCTCGAAACAACGGTAACTGCGATGTTGTTCTATCGATTGTACCACGAGTTCCTCGGGAAACAGAAAAAAAATTACTTTCGGTTCTTGCCGCAAAAAAAAATATAATAATAATTCGACGTGTAACACGCAGGGTTTGCAACTTCTGAATGTACAGGTGGTGCACAGTAAAATTTACTACGATTTTTAAAGATTATTTATTATATTTTTAGTCCATGAGCCCTCCAGACATCGCTAAGTTCATTGATCGAAGTAACAAATAAAAATATATCACATGACCACAAAGACGAGATAACATTAAGATACCACGCTCGAGCCATATAGGCAGACAACGTAACAAATAACAGCCCAAGAACAATAGAAGAACACATAGGTCATTGCGTGTTAGGCTACCTCACAAGAGCAGACACGCGCACCAGGTGCTGCGTCCCTGTAGGTGCGGGGGCGCGGCAGACGGATGTATCATTGAGTCAGGACGTTCGCGGTGCCCGTGAAAGAATCATTATAATCGAGTCACGGACAACGAAACATTTAAACCTGTGACGTAGTCAACGACGCGGGCGCTTCAAAAGACCGCACCCTGATGACAAGCGCCAGAGAGAGACAAAAGCAAAAAGAGAGAGAAGAAACGCCCGCGCGCACGAGGATGGGACTCGTCGTCCTTGTTCGGGAGCGGCTTGTAAGCGGCTCGCCCGTGTAGTATATACGTCGCCTGGTGCGTAGTAGCCGTAGCACGCGGGGCAGGATGAAATCATTTCAGCGTGGGACACTCCGCGCCCTTCCGTCCGTTCCATAGGATACGCAAGCTCCCGAACCACGCTGCGCGCTTTCCACGCGAGTCACCCACGCGTTGGGCGCCAGTTTCAACACGCGTTGCGCTTCGCTAGTTGTCTCCTTTGCCGAATTTTCCGTAGCCGAAAGGTCTATTCGGAAAGCCTTGAAAAAGAGTGAATATCTGAAGGACCCCTCTGGGAGAGGTGAAGAGGAGTACCGTAGCGATAGATCTCTCTGGGAGTCTTGAAGAGAAGTGCCTTAGCGAATGATCTCTCCAGTAATTTTCTAGAAGAGTACCTCAGCGAAAGCCCTCCCTGGAAGTGGCGATAAAAAGTACCTTAGCGATAGAACTCTTTATGAGTCTTGTAGAGGAGTACGTACGTTAGCGAGAAATCTCTCTGGATGTTTTGAAGAGAAGTACCTTAGCAAAAGGTCGTTCTGGGCTGTCTCGAAGAGGAGCACTTTACTCCCTGTGTGTTTTGAAGAGGAGTATGCTCTACTTGGAAATTTTTCTGAATCTTGAAAAGCCTTACTGAAATATCTGCTGGAGACGTACTTTGCCGACATATACCTCTGAGAATATTGACGAGGAGTGCCTGGAAGCATCACTGGACTTTCCAACGTCTGCGTGTGTGCTGTTTTGGTACTGAAGTGGTGGTGCTCCGAGATTCGGGGCTCAGAGTGCCTCAGTTCTGGACTTGCCGCGGCTGAAGAGGAGACAAGGTGAAGAGCTGCCAAGCCCTCGGATTTCGTGGTGACGTGTGCTATAGATATAAGTGTGCTGCCGGTTCTCTTCCAATCCTGTAATTCTGTAAGGATTTTCTTATTGCAGTTTTCCTCTATTTGATTGAACTTGGCGACGAGCTGTTGCATCGTTCGCGAAGAAGGATTGAGATTAGACCTATTCATTTCAAAGAACAAGCTTGCTGAAAGACTTCTGACACATCGATATTTGTGGTCAAGATTTGTCGTGTTTGGGACATCGGAACGAATCACTGTTAATGATCAGGAATTAGAGAACCCCCAAGGATCTGGAGAGATAGTTTGTGTTCGAACCTTCATGAAAAAGGACTGAAAGCTGAAGTGGTGTCTAAGAAGCATACTTTCTTGAATAAGTGACGGTAATGTACTGCCGACTTACTCTCGTAAACCTTCCTTTCGCGATGATGTAACCAATCGCCTCAGAGCCTGCTTCGGGTTACTTATATCGAACGATTTGTAACTGCCTTCGTGAACCAACCGCGCTTTTAACCTGTTAACAAAGCCTATCAATTGTCTGGCACCATTAGCTCAATATTTGCGCAACCTTTTCCGCATATCTTCAGTGCACTGTATCAATATTAGATCGAGATAAAAAAAAAAAATACGGCTTATGAGTTTCGACACACGCTTCGGAAAGATAGAGCCCGTATATCTACGGCTTTAAAAGGAAGAGCTGACAGCTTACGGTAGATTTCCAGCTGTTCGACATTTCGCATTCGACGACCGTCGCTGTCTGTGTCGCAACTCGAGCAGGCGTCTTTAATTGTTGCGCGCTGGTGACACGGGTCGCTTCTTTCGCTCCTCTTTCCGCCCGACATAATAGACCTTGAAGTGGCGTAACTTTCGGGCGGTTCCTTCGACAGGTTCTACGGACCGCCCGCCGAGGAGCCTGTGGCGAACTGAACGGCTGAAATCGGCATATGCCTCGACGAGCCGTCAGTGGCTAACCTCGAGTGTGTTCGCAGTTTGTGAGTTCCGCGTTCTTGCTTGAATCACTCTTGCGGAGCGTGTTTGCTGGCAAGATTAGAATCCGTGCGTGCCTGTTGGATACCGGAACTGCTCCCAACGAAGAGGCCAGATGAACTGGAAGTGGATACGCATTGCCGTCGTAAGTAAACCTTTCTTCTTCTTTTCTTTTTTCCTTTTTTTTTTTTTTTTACGTTGGCCTTGTTTGATTGTCGGTTTGACATAAATACATCCGCGCGCTTGCTCTATAATATATCAATTATACTTAATTGCGCTTGCTCTATAGTATATCAATTATATTATATATATATATATATATAATAGAAGAGTATTGCAAATACGACTGTGGTTTGCTGAAGCGTTGCATAAAGACAATTTCAATGGCAGCCTTCTGCGAGCTGCCATTTTTCTTGAGCTATATGGAATCCATTTTTTGAGCATGCGCAGTGGCTCTTTTCTGCGGAATACCAGACGGCGCGGCGCATGCGACCACGACCCAGTTTTTTGCCTGGGTGATACTCTAGAAAGGTGTATAAAACGTCACTTGCGTGACGTTACACTGCTGACTCGGCATTTTTTTTTTCTCTCCCACAAAAACAAGCATGTGTCAAGCTATGCGCCGAGAAAGTGAGGAAGAGGATGAGACGAAAGCACGCAGGGACATTACAAGTAAAATCGCACCATGTGAAGCGGGCTTCAGAACGCGGAACGCCAGCGTCCGGCGTTTGACTCTTGCATTCGAACGCGTTCGGCGAGTGCAGTGCAGACAAAGGTTGCTAGCTTTAGGTCTCCCCACAAATCATTTGAACTGTCTCCGCGCGTTTTCTAGGAGCATTAAACGAAGCAGTATCCATGTATACTTATACCTGATTATTAGAAAGCCCGACGGTCGAAAACGTACCGGCTCAGCAATGATGCGGAGTCTTATACGGCCTGCAAGCTCGTCTGCTCTATCCGCTCCCAAACGCACCCGCGTGCTTTTGCCTGTTTTGCACCCCCCCCCCCCTTTTCCCCCTCCCCCTTACGACCTCAACCAGTGACGACGAGCGCTTGGCTGCCTCGTCATCGCGCTTTTTCCGAAGCGCCGAAACGTATTTGGGGAACCCTCGCAACAACAAAAACGACGCCATCTTCTTTTTTTTTTTTTTCAGTTTTGTGTAGATATTTATATAGAAATCTGCTTGGTCAAAAAAAAAAAATGAATACTCCCGGACTGAAAAACTTCAGCCAGTTTATATAAGATGTCGCGGTTTATCCGGCCGCAACCAAAAGTGTGAGCCGTTGTGTCCCGATTCAGAACGGCTGGTATACCGCAGCCGGTCGGCCATCTTGACACGAAAAGGCATAATTGCAGCGAGGAATCTATCCCAAACATTGGATGCTGTTGCATGAAATATCCTTCATTTTCGAAGAGTAAACATTTGTGTGGAAAAAGGTGCTGCTGCGGACAAGGGTTGACCACAGAAAGAATACAACAAACTCTTGGACGATGAACGACGGACATTTCTTTCAACTGGCAACGACATGAATGAGCTTAAAAGCAGCTCCTGCAATTCAGGACCGTCGAGGAAAAAGAGAGAAAGGAAACTGTAAAGATAAAATTGTTAATAAGGAAACAATAAAATGTGAAGTAACACCGTGGGAGCAGCACAAAATATGGAAGCGGTGGGGAGCGGTTATAATCTACGCTAATTCCGGAGTCAAGTAGAGGCTATCTCTTCTTTGGAAAGAAGAAGGAAAGGCGCGGACTCGTTATTGTCAACAGTGTTCATGGCGAATGACTCGATAATTTAATTTCCCTGTCAAATCTGTTATGATGCCCTCTCAAAACTTTTGTGTGCCTGAAACAAGGAACCCAGTAAGTGCATGTGCGGGCATGAACGACGTTGGAGTGAAAGGAATCTGCTGACGACCGTGAAACTTCCAAATGATGCTCTCTGAGTCTGTGGTTGACGCACATCCCTGCCTGCCCAATCTAATGTTTTCCGCAACTCAGAGAAATGGAATAAACTTTCTCTTCCTCGCACAGAACGAACTTGTCAGCGAGCTGAACATTGCACCTTGCGGTTTTTCCTGATTGTTGACGCGTTGCAAAGCTACAAGAAAAAACAACATTTGTGTTGAAGCGGGGTGCAAGAGCCCTCAGCCGGTGCGACGAATTGTGCGTGTATGGGATCACGCAGAGTCGTACCGGTCTTTTGTGCCTGTTCCTACACAAGGACGATTGACCTTAATAATGAACCTCTTCAAGGTGTTCCCCAAGAGGTCAGCAGGATTACAAGCCTAAGATGCTGATAATGGGAACCTGTTTCCGAAAACTGCGGGCATGACTTTGAAAAACATGGCGAAATAAAGGTTTTTACGACGCCGTGTCTTACTGATTCTGAATGATTCCTAGAGAAAAAAAATCACGAGCTTTTTTGTCCTCTGCTGAAAGGCCCAGCGTAGATCCGAAGAAAAAAGATGGAGGCGGAGCTCTAAATACTGCAAACCTTCATGTGAAGGATCCTTTTTGGTAAAACTGAGTCCGGACGAGGTTGGACGTGAAAGCATCAACGATTCCCCTCGGGCAATGTAGATTTTGGATGGATGACAAGGTAATCGTCGACAAATCTGAAGACCTGGAACCCATCTGCGGTGTTATCAAGCTGAGCTTTCATAGCTCGGTCAACAAACGAAAGATAAGCCTCACTGAGAATGGGAGCGAGACAGGAACCAATACAAATGCTTTCCTTTTTTTTTTTTTGTATGAAAATTTTCTTTTTGTGTTTGACGAGAGCCGAATGTACGTAAAAAGGCTTGTAAGTCAACGAAAATAGAGGCCGAGACACCGGAGGAATTCTGGGAGTCACAAATTCCATGTTCTTGGATGGCGTCGCAAACTTACTCCAGGAGAACTTTCGGGTCTAAATTAAAATACATATCCTCGGTGTCGAAAGAAAAAATGGAAAGTGGTGTGGAAGATGAATTAAGGTGCTCGATGCGAGAGATATATTCAATTCCCTATAATGCATGAAATGCCTTACAAAAATTGATGTCACGTGACGTATATTTTCCCGCTGAATTTCGCCGGGAAACTACAGGGTGAAACAAGGAGACGGCAGGCTCTTTAAAGGGGCGGTGCAACGATTTTCGGACTTCGGTCAAAGATTTCTGGAAGTTGCCCCCTGACACTTCTGAAGTAAAGAACAGAAAACCGATTTCGCCTGCGTGTCCTAGTTGTTGCGTAAAAAAAGGATAAAGATTGGCATTTCTGTCACCCCTCAACTCACTCCCAGTCTTCAGGGTCACACCCGATCGCACTCTTAGTGACGTCATTCGGAGTGATGTGTAGCTTCCAGTGTGCTATCTCGGAGGACGCTTCCCCTCCCTCTCTCTGCGTACATTAGCGGGCGCTATGCTGCAGCTTAGAGCCGAGCGAGGTCACATAATATTTCCGCCGTAGTTCCTTCAGCTGCCACTTGGGGCTGCAGGTGGGGGAAAAAGCTCGACTTTTGCTTTGCGATTATGCAGCGGAATCGCGACATTTTTAATGAAGGAAGTGCTTTTTCTATCCACTGGGACACGATAAACAACGTAAGAATGACGAGATGCAAATTCTTTTAATCATAAAATCGTTGCACCGCCCCTTTAAATCGACCGCGAAATTCGGTTTCTTAACCTATCACGCTACGAGTTTGTGCAGCGTTGCCCACAGATGGTGCCTTTTTTTTTTTTTTTTTGTAAAATTTGCAAAGAGCGAACTTACTTGAGGGAAAAGTAAAGAAAGAAAAAGGCTTAGCTCCTATGGAAACGCAGCGACGTTACCGGTCTTCAAACAACACGGCGCCGTTTCGCACGGGAGACAAGAGATGGCGCAAGCGGTCGCGACGCCAGCTGCCGCCAACGAACGAGCCGACGACGCCGAGAGCCGGCGTTTTTAGCAGACAAGAAACTGCAGTTGCTTGTTGTTACCGCGCCTGTTTTTGTTTCTGCGACTGTCGCCGTTTGCGGAACGCGCGCCGCTTTTGAGTCGAAAAGATCGTCTGCTAAAAACGCCGGCTCTCGACACGCTCGACACCGTATGCTCGTTTGTTGGCGGCGTTCGTTGCGCCATCTCTTGTGTCCCGTGCGAAACGGCGCCGTGTTGTTTGAAGACCGGTGGCGTCGCTGCGTTTCCATAGGAGCTAAGCCTTTTTCTTTCTTTACATTTTCCTCAGGTAAGTTCGCTCTTTGCAAATTTTACGAAAACAATGCACCATCTGTGGGCAACGCTGCGCAAAGTCGTGGCGCGATAGGTTAAGAAACCGAATTTTGCGATCGATTTAAAGAGCCTGCCGTCTCCTTGCTTCACCCTGTAGATTGGTGTCTAGGTCAGAAGGCGCGAATTTCCGCGCTAATGTTAGCAGCTAACTGAATCGGTGAAAAGGTCACGTGACGTCAATTTCCTGCTAAATTTAGCGGGGAAATTGAATTGATGCTTTTGGCCACAAGACGTGAGTTTTCCCCCGCTAAATTTAGCGGGGAAACTGAGTTGACGTATAGGTCACCTGCCGTCAATTTTCAAAAGGCGAATTGGTCTCTTGACGCCACTTTCCCCGATAAATTTAGTGGAAAATGCACGGTTGGACGGACTACATTTTGGGATTGAAAGGAAAGGGGGGGGGGGGGGGGGGTAGCATTTCATGCTTGAACAATGTCTTTAAACACGTTGGAAGCATGCATACGTATGACGCAAAGATGTTTCGAAAATTTCGTGAGCCGCGTCCGCAGACAATAGATTTCTTCCAAAACTCGAAGCGCCCCACCGCGGCGAAATGCCACGCAGTGCACTATGGGAACTAGTTGGCCACCCAATTTCGGTTTCAATTCAGGAGCTTCAATTCATGCGATCACGCCGTGACCGATTGCGCTGCTTGCGTTTTCAATTGTCCGACTTTCCACGAATGTACGTACAATATTCTAAGCATTCTCGAGCGATATAGAAGAAAGACCGGGGCACTTTTCTTGGTTCCCGACATGCCGGATATTGTGCCTGCGTATGCAAACGTAGTAAGACGTCCCCACGATTGTATCTTTGAGCTCACTTTCAATAATCATATCTAGTACCAGTGAACCACAATTGAGATTTGGTCACCTTGAGCCCTAAACGTATCTTGTTTG